ATTATTGGCTAGGCAGTGTACAAATGTGGTTCATTTACCATTTGCACAGAGCAATGTCTTTGGGGAATTGACTGAAACACTGAGATTGTGAATACAGATTTCCTTGCAGAGTGTTTTTTTAAGGATAAGGTGAGGTGGTTTTGTTTTTCAGAAGTAGCTCAAAGTAAAGTCACTGCCCCTCTGCATTCAGTGGAGCCAGTTGAGGTGGTTTGAGCATCTAGAAAGTATTCCTGGTAGACTCCTTCCAGGGTAGATGTTTCAGACATGTCTCAAAAGGAGGAGACTTTGGGGCTGGCCCAGAAATCAGAGGGGGGATTCTGTTACTGCAGTACCATACATGGGAACAGGAACACCTCAGACAACCTCCAAATGAGCTGGAGGAGGTAGCTGAGGTGGAAGCTCCAGACATCTTTCATTAAGCTGTTTCCAGTGTCAGAGAATGGTAGAACATGGAGAAATGGTTGAAAAAACTCATTCCAAGTACATATACTGTATGTTGACACTCAGTTGGCTCCCAAACAAACTAATGCACATGTCCTGATGCATCTCAATAATCAAGGTCGAGAAATCCACAAAAAAAAAAGTTAAGTAGGTCCTCTGGACAAGTTCTCTTCACTGAAAAACATTTTCTCTTCTCCAAGAGATTTCTGCAGTCTGAGGAGTTACAGGTAAACAGGTTTAACAATGACAATAAAAGCTTTTTGTTCACATGCAAAAAAGACCATCAGTCTAACGGCCGATCTTTAGTGTCTTGGTTTTCGCCTATTGTTCACAGAGGGCTGTCATKCTCGCAATAACAGCATTGAGTTTCATGCACATATTTTGAACTTTCTGAGCTAGAATATGTCAAAGTCAAATTTCGAATGCTTGCTGGAACTTGAAAAAAATAATTACACGATGGGAAAATAACTTTTAATACAATGCATTCCTGTCCTATATTGCATTCAGAATGTTTTTGAACTCTGCTTTTTTGCATTTAAAAGTGTCATTTTTTTTCAGAGCTACGAGACATAAAACACACAGTCCCAGGTCAGATGAAGCATCTGGTGTGTGTTTTTTTTTTTTTTTGTAAATTTGGAAACCTTTGTACTGACATTTATCAAAGTGCATGGCACTGATCTACACCAGCATCTTGCTCTGTGTGGATTTCRATGTTTTTAAAAACTCCACAATTGGACGGTAGAAGCTTAAAAGACACACAAATCACAATGTGGATAGTCATTAGTACACTTTTAAATTATTTTAGTCTTTTTTGTCCACAATTTGTTTGGCTTGGCAAAAAAAAAAGATTTACAGTAGACTGAGAAAGTCATACAGTGCATGGACTAAATTTGATCAGTGATAAATTTGATCAGTGATAAATTTGATCAGTGATAAATTTGATCAGTGATAAAACTGTATTCATGAAGCAAAGATAAAATACAGATATTGTGGCAGTTTGTTTCTGATTGGGTAAAAAATGTATTAACTTCCATAACAGACAGCCTGATGCTGAGACTATTGTTGTTGTAACAACTATTATGTTTGGGAATGTCTTTTTAATTACTTCCATTCATTCATACCATTGTTTTGTTAATAAGACAGTGCCAGAAAAGTTTGAACTGATGAATGCTTTAATTAGGAAAGTATGTTTGATATAATCTAGTACTGCATTCATTTGGTATTCTAGTTTTTATGTCAGATGCGTACTTTAGGCCACAGTTCTAGTTAAAGTTTGTCATTAATACTCAGCAATCTAGCCTGGAGTGATGTTCAGACCAGCTAAGATCCATTTCTTGTTGTGATGCAAAAATTAACATATAAGGTGGTGCATTATTTACTACAGTTACAATTCTTTAAGCTCTCTATAATGTAATTATATTCCTCAAATCTGACCATTTTAAAAWATAAGGTCTCTTGTTCACCGTGTTTTACATAAAAAGTCACATCAGTCACACATTCTTCCCTGGGATGTTTCTCCAATGTCTTCCTTTCCATCTTCCTGTCTCACCCTCCTCTCTGAAACCTCAGCTGTTTTGCCCGTTACTCATAAAATCCTCCCACTTTTTTTATATGACCCACAAGGAAAGCAGCTTAAAATAATCTCCAAGAATCAAGTCAGTCCCACACAAAGCAGTCCTTGCTCAGTCTTTACTCAAATATCCACAACATTCACGAGCTATCTGCTGGCAGTTTAATGTCCTTTTTCCGTACTGTGGTTATTTCTCTTAATCCTTATCTTTGTGCCCAATATAAAGCAAAATAAATGGTTAAAAAACATTATG